GGACCACAGCAACCAATGTCTTGTTTTCTCTTCTATCTGTCTTGAATTGTAACAATTCAGCAGCAAGGCAAGCAGGTTTGCTGTTCCCTGACACAGGTTATAGCCCAGCTGACAGACTGGACACCTGATAATAGTCAGTGAAGAAAAATTAACACAGCTGGATCAAATGCACTAAGACATTCCACCAGCTGCAGTCCAAAAGCCACCAAAAGAAACACCATTACACTGCTGTAACAACTATTTCACCACATGCAGTTCCTATATTTATCTGTCTTTAATTAGCACATTTTAACATCTATAACCCTGAGAGATTCAATGACAGTACCATAGGCATAACTGATATTATAGACAGAACAAAGCCAGACTTAACAACTACAGAAATACTTTGGAGTATGCTAGAAGACAGTCCATTCTTGAAAATGCCTTGGAAAAAAATTAACGCAATAGCCTCCGTAAGACCTTCTCTCTTCAAAAATTAGGGATTTGGCAAAATTAATCTCATTACCCTTAATCAGCTCTGAAAGCCACTACCAAGAGAGTCTTACTCTCTTCCTCTTCCTTCTTCAGCCATTTATTTCTACCCATTTCCTTTTGCTGCATCAAGCACTCATGTGGTAAACCAGCTCAGCAAGTTCATTAGACATAAAAATAACCTAACATAAAAAGTCAGAGCACCGATCCAGCTTGTCATGTCACTAAGTGGAATGGAAAGGGGATGGGGGGGGGAGTAGAGGGGGTAGGGAACCTGTCCTTTTAAGGGCAGCCTGCCTTTTACCAGGTCAAGCGCAGCACAAAACCGCACCCCAGCAAACTAGTGAGAAACAACTAGTATTAGACATAACACGTCTGAGTTAGTCTGGTAGTTCCTGCAGGTTAGGTAGGGCTAGAGCCTTTAACTCCTTAAGAATCTTAGGTTAAATTTAACTCACCTTTTTTTCCAAATCAGAAAACTGAGTTATCAACTTCCTTGGAAAAATCTACTCTTCTTACATATCTGGCTGTTAAGAGCAACACCACACCCTTTCAGAAGCCCACAGATTTCCTCAGTACAGGTTTGCAGTGAGAGTCCACAACAGCAATGCTTACATCAGTCTTTTTCATTTCAAGTAAGCTGTTTTCAAAGAGACTTAGCAAACTGAAGGGCAGAAGAAATTCTTCCAAGGATGAAGCTCTACATTCAGAGAGCTTTAACAGATTTTGCTTCTGTACGTAGGTCGAGACTGATGGTGTAAATGGTCTAAACCAGGTTTGCACTTACTTGACTTCATATTAAAAAGTTGTTTTATAAGCTGCCTAGTTAAAATACTCAATTAGGTTATGCATTTAGTTATTTTTAAGAAACATCAGTATTTCCAATACTATTCTAAATGTGAAAAATATTGAAATTCAGATGTATTTAGGGATCAGATAATCGTATTTTGGGAGACATCAACTAGTCTTATTTACTTAATTATGTTCACAATGAATTTTTAACTTTAAAGTAAGAATTTAACTGGGAGATGATATGCAAACATGATAAACAGCAATTGCATTTTCCAGATCAATTCCTTATTTAAATAAACAAAACCCTAAACCTAATGGCTTAAATTTTGACAGAATAATGTATGTTTACCTGAAGGATGCCATTTCTATTCAAAGGTTTAAAACCGTGCAACCTCCAATGGTTTTTCAACATATTTTTAGGAAAATCTGTGACTGGCATTGATTTTTTGAAACTAAGTTTGCACTAAATTTATCTGACAAGGGTGCAGGAATAAAAATCTATGCTTCGACGACTAAATGCACGGGAAGGGGTGACACACACACATTTGCACCAGAATGTCAAAGGACACATTGAGAGTCTGGCCGCTGGGAGTCCTACAAAGGAAAGCAGCGGATGCCACGGACCAAGAATGTAGCATGGGTCTATACTGTAAAACCGCTTCCACGCACGAATGCATTGCTAACCCACGCAACCACGGGGCAAACCCGAGAGCATTTCAACGCCTGTTTCCGAACAGGTGAAGAGGCCTCCCGTGCAGCCCAGCCTAGGCCAGCCGCCCCTCGACTG